CTAGCGTCACACTACATTTATGTTTATTATTTAAGAATAGTAATTTCTTTATGAAAAATAGTGACAGGCATAACATTAATACGAGGAATAAAAATAAACTAGCTGTTCTTGATACTCCCCTTCACAAAGTCACAAATTCATTCATTTCAAAACTTTACACTAATGATTATTTATACAACTTCTGCGTACTTGGATGACAAAAATTCATGGTAGTAATCTGTTTAGCTCATGGAGGTAGTTTCGATCTCTGATGTTTGATACGCAACAGTTATTTGATAAGCAAGGCTGCATAACCTGAGCAAGAGAAAGAAGCTAAGATTGAATCACGAGCGAAACGCGTAGTTCAAAAATTGAATCCTGAGCGTAGCGAGAGTTTAAAGGCACGAGAAAACACACAACTTTTCACCTCACTATAGCGAGGAAAATGGTAGATGAAAGAAAAACAGTTGAACTATAACAAATCAGTTTTTCATCACCGCTAGATTTAGACTCGCTCATGTTTTGTTTCTTTTCAATTTATTACAGTACAATGCAATACAAAGTATTGAAATTGAAGTGATTAAAATGAAAATTTGAAAAAAAAACAGTTTTGGTTTGGGTGCGTTCTGAATTTACACCATATACGTTTACTTCTTTTTTGTATTATAATTTTATGTGATTAAAGAAATTCTTTTAGTTCTTCGACAAATTAAAATAATCCAATAAAACAAAATTAGTGTTATCGTTGTCAATTTGGTGTCAAATTATTGACATTCCTATTACTATTATTATTCCTATTATTAAATAGGAATAAATTATACCAACGGATTATAATGTTATATAAATACTTAATGTACTTATGACGAATCGCGTTCGGAACGCATCACTATTTTTTTTAGTCAAAAGAAAAAGTTTATCTTCGGATGCGTTCTGAATTTGCATCTCATCATTTTTTATTCTTGTATGTACTTATAATTTTGTGTGATTATTGAAATTCTTTTAGTTCTACGACGAATTAAAATAATTGAAAAACAAAATTAGTCATCGTGGTCAATTTAATATCAACCATAATAAGAATAAAATGTACCAACTGATCTAAATTACATAAATAATGTACGACAAATCACGTAGTTGAACGTGTCATTATGATTTTTTTTTCATTGAAGGAAAATGTTAGGTGCACCCATACTAAATCTACGGGTACACCACAGTCCATCGTCAGGTTCGAATTTCAAAAACCTTTTCCACGCTAGCGTGCAAAAAGCGCTTTTGCGCGCAGATTTCTAATGAGAAAAAAGGCCTTTCCGAGCTAATGAGGTGAAAAATATATTGTAAATGTTGAATGGGTAAAAATGTTATTTACAAAGAGCAACCCCTAGAGTTTCTTGGTCATTCTTCTGCGGTAGAGTTTAACCAATGTAGCAGTAGAGCTCCTTGTGAAAGAGTTCATCGAGGGAAGTACTGTCACCTTACCTATTTCTGCCGCCAAGCAGTAATGTGAGCATTACTGCGTTCCGGTTTTGAAGGGTAAGGGTGCTGGTGAAATTACAGGCACATGGGACTATCCAACTTACGTCTCAGGACGATGGGTGCAGAGGCAGTGCACCTCAGACCTTTGCGATTTAAAGCTCTGAGTGGCACTGCAACTGTTATGGACAGGCGTGGCATTTACCATCAGGCGCACGACTTGTTCGTCCCATCACTTAGCATTATAAAAAAAAAGTGACGATTTCAATTGTAATAATGCTTACCTATGAAATGAAGATTATTTTGATTTGATTGGATCTTTAGTTAATTTGCGTAGGCGCCGAAACTAGGTCTTACTTGGTGAATGTAATGGCAGCACTTTGATTCGATTTTTGATGTACTTGGACACTGACAGCTGTGATCGTCTACACGTGGAGCCAAATAAGGAATAAAAATAATTAATAAGACCATAGTGTGGACGGTTTAAACTGACCAGCACACGGTAACGCGAATTTGGTGTTTACTGTATTTGTCGTATCTTCAAACATGATAAATACTTTGTCACACATGCCATTTACACATGGTCATTGTTTGCCAAATATATCAAATACGCAAATACAAATAGCCCTGTGAAGTGTCACATATCAATGATAAGTGTGGTAGGTACTTTTGAGATCAATTCGCAAACGACTCAATTGGACTCTTGGGCCCTATCTCGTTACAGTAAACGTACTTGAAAAACTTCCTCGCTGCCGTGTACCACAAATAACGTGTCGTATAATGATCCTGTTTTCCGCATGTTTAGAGCTCATAATGACCTTGTAAAGATTTGGATATTTTTTCACAGAGTTGCTATATTTTTTTTTATATTTGGAAGAAAAAACTGAATGTCTTGGATGCTTGAACATCCGACCGTGACCACTAAAACGATTTGTACTTTTTTAATAATTTTCTTCTTATACATAAGAAGAGTTTATATGTAGTACCGTAATTTGCAAGTACCTTCATTTATTACATTATATAATATAAGTTGCGCGTAGTTGTCACAACACTGCAAATTATTTGTAATGCGTGTTATCTTTATTAATATTATTACGTATTTTTTCCAAATATAAATGTAAGTAGAGCATGCACACTTAAATAATGGCTATTAACTCTCTCTTTGAAAAGGCACAAGTTATAACGTCCAGGGAACAATTCTGCAAACAGGAAATTCCACCCGATACCCGTTCACCATATAAATGTGGAAGCGTAACGCTTCGTGCGAATCTTTGGAATATCCATAATATAGGGGTGGAAAACAAGTCTACGTTTACTCCCCTGGTGATGGACAGGGGAAGGCTAAATTAAATCGTGAAATTCCTAATAAATATATAACCAACAGGTATGCGAATGTAATTTACTTTTATATTTCTGAAGTTGCATAAAGCCAACCAACTAATACCCTTCATTCATTGATTTCTTTGCAAAACATAAGAGAAAATATTTTAATGCTTTCTAAGATTCTTGTATCCTAAACTCAGATGGACGCGTAGAACCTTTTTTTTATATAAGAAATATGATAAACTGGCGTCTTAAAAGGAAAACGCTGGAGTTGCTTTTCTTGCTGACTATTTTTTACTTTTAATAATCGTAAATGGTATTGGATATAACTATAACCAAGAACGAGGGTTGATTGGTAGAGATCGCAGAACCGATCCACAAGCCGATTCCGAGCCAGGAATCAGGTCCAGACCGGGTCTTACCTTGCTTTTAAATTTTCCGTACTGACCCAAGAAAAACGTAGAAATACTATAAAATTAATAACGTTTTATTAAAGTAATGTGTTATTGTTATTGATACGAAGACCGAACAAACACGAAGAAAAATTCAATTTCCACCACTGACGCGTAATATGAAACGTAATTTTCGCTATTATTACATAGACGGAAAGCCTATTCTGACCAGCTTAATGCATTTCCGTGTCGGTAAGTGTGGTGACACACCGAAGGAAACAGTGGTGTTACGGGGGTCTTGAAATAAAATATAAACTACTGGTAGTGGTTATAATTTAAATACACTTTTTGCCTTCTTATGACCAACAGTCGATAATAATCTGGTCGTTCCGCCAAAGTGACACCCTGTTGTAGGAACTTATTATTTTAAATAGTTATATACGTAATATATAATTTATGGTCAATTTAGACGAACATTTGTAAATTAATATGTGAATAAATAGAATTAAGTATTATTCCATGTTACATTTTATAATTAGGAATGGACTACGTTACTATGGTGTAGGCTGAACGTCGAAGATGTGTATTGTGGTTTGATAGTGCATGTGTGTTGATATCGTTAAAGTACGATTATTTAAATGTAATGCGGTCAGATTTATTAAAAATCATGATTCAATTAATTTTACAGTTCATGTCGCCCGGAGCCGTCATCTAGCTATCGCTGTCAACTTCATTAGAGGCAGTGGAAAATTTGGAAGAAAAAATACAATTTCCTAGAATTTTATACAACCCTTTCGTGCAATGTTTTGTGTTTTTCTTGAAACCGGTTTTCGGGCCTAGGACTGGAACAAAATCTAAACCGACTCAGTTATTCCATCTTCCTATTCTGGGTAACTTGGTTCTGCGAATTCTGAACGTTTTACCGTAGTCAAGAAGGTCTACTAGCACTTTCCGTCTAGTTTCAAATTTCCAACGTATCGAAATAACGTGTTAAACATTTACTCAATTGTAATAAATTGTAAGCGAATAAAGAAAATAAAATAATATATTTAATATTTGTTAAGGAGTTACCACGCTCATAAACACGATTGAGTCGGTCATAAAAAATGCTTTATGTACATGTCTTCGTCTTAGTCGTTATCTTCATAGCTGAAAGTCGTATCCCCGAAAGGTTTTCGAGACTTTAAGGACGACTTTCTTCCATCTGGTTCTGTCTTCGGCCTCTCTCAGGGCAGTTGTTATAGGGAGGTTAGTGAGGGCGGTCACTTGGCCTCTCCATCGGCTAGGTGATCAACCGCAGAGTCTCTTTGCCTTCACCTTACCCACCACAACCAGTTTGTCAAGGTTGTCTGGTTGTCGGCGAGCAATATGGCCAAAATACTGTAGGATTCTCTGGTAGCATATTGAAGAAAGTCTATTTACGATATCAAGCTGCTCGATTAGGGAATGGTTTGTCCTTCTAGCGGTCCACGATATACGGAGCATCTTTCTCCAACACCACATCTCGAAAGCATCTATTTTTTTCCGTTCTAATGCCCGGATTGTCCACGACTCTGAGCCATATAGAAAAATCAAGAAAACCAATGTCCGGACTAGTCTCGGTTTTGGTAACGTTGGAGGCTTTTCTGCTACGCCAGTTGCGCGTTATGTACGTATTTAATAAGAGTGAAAAAGAGTTTATGCGTTTTGAGTGGGCCATGTGAAAGCGAAATGAGCAACGTCTGTTTTACTTTTATCGCGTGGACATAAAACTTTTTCTGATCGGCTTGTTGCGAGTCCGTGTCGAGAAATATGGTGCATCCCTTAGCATAATAAGTGAGTAAACTTTAGAAAACATACCTTTTCTCCACTATCCGAGGGCAAGTAAAAAGTAAGGACCGTTAAAAAAGAAATTCCCATGCAAGGGATGATGATGTTCACGGTGTAGAATAGCGTCTTCCGCCGCATGGTGATATTGAACGTGATATCCAGGTAGGGCTCGTCGCAGCACGTGTAGAATTTCTCGTTCCTGAACAAAAGAAACAAAAAATCAGTTGTCAAATCAAATATTCTGGTACATGGTAAACCTTCCTATTCGAGTTATGAATAAGATCGTTGTAGGTATTGCCTATTCATAATGCGCAGTAATAGGGATTGACCCTTATCAATTACATCTCATCGTATTTGACGGTATACAAGATACTGAATGAATCTCGAAATCAATTTTGACAAGCTTTCGGTGGGACCTTATGTTGCTGAGTTGTGATAAGATGTTTGTGGCGTTTGGCGCCCTTCAATATCTTGGCAAGTTCTTGCTAACCCTTTATACGGGTCATAAGCCAGTTAAGTTAACTTTTGTCACTAATTCTTGAATGTAAACTACGTAAATTCGACCATGTTACAGAAATCCATTACCAACTTAGCTGTTAATACACTGTAAGAGGTAAAAATGAAATAAAAAATCAAAATAATCTTTATTTCATAGGTAAACATTATTACACTTGAAATCGTCACATTGGTTAAACTCTACCGCTCATTCGTAAGGCAGATTCCCCCGAGAAGAATGAGCGAGAAACTCTAAGGGTTGTTCTTTGTGAATAAACATTTGCACACATTTATCATTTACAATATAATCTTTTTTTCAAACATCATAGATCGAGACTACCTACAAGAGCTAACAGATACTAATTTTTCTCATCCAAGTACGCAGTAGTCGTATAATAACCTTTAGTATAAAGTTTTTGTTTCACTATAGTTTTAAACTTCGTGAATGGTAAATTTTGTATATCAACCGGAATCTTGTTATAAAAGCGTATACATTGCCCCGTAAATGAATTCGTGATGTTGCGTAGACGACTATCAAGAACAGCTAGTTTGTTTCAATTCCTCGTATTCATGTTATTTCTGTCACTATTTCTCATAAAGAAATTACTATTCTTCTAAACATAAATTACATTTTCACCAATGTCTGTGACGCTAGTGTAAGAATGTTAATTTCCTTAAACTTATCTCTCAAAGGTACCCTGCGGCCCAGATTGTAAATTGCCATCCCTATCCATAATTGTAATCCCACGTTTTTGCAGGACAAAGATTCTATTGATATCGACGGCAGTCCTCTCTTTCCCTTCTTAGAACCCTATCACAAAGATCATTTCGTCTTTCTCAGTTATATTATGACGCGTCGCATTGTACGGTCTTTTACGCTTTCAATTGCTCTTGTGAATTATACACCAATTCTCTGCATTTCAATTTATTTTAATATTGTTCTTAAATTGTAGTATTATAATGCTATTATGATGTAATATCTATATAAAAACAATAAAATATATCCTATATTATCATTGATACTAAGTTTGAACAAAAAAATGAAAAATCCCTCAATCCAATAGGAGTCGAACTTGTGTCTGTTGTAGTCTTAGCTGCCACCGGTTAGAGTCTGATCGGATAGAGGAAATTTTTCTTTGTATTTGTTCGTTTCTATCACTAATAATAACAAACTAGTGGAGTATTTAAAAGAATATATAATAATAATCATGGTGATAAAAACATCATTATATTCAATACAAAAAAATTATATCGTATGGCCTTGTATTGTAATTTCACGATGTAATTTTTGAGCAAGCAACTGTCTGTTACGTTTTCAACCAAAACGGATGAATTTTGGTGTAGAGATAGATGGGACGTAAGAAAAGGACACGGGTTAGCTTTTGTCACCAAAGTTAATGAATCTTAATGGGGGCGAAATAAGGCATGAAAGTTTGTATGGCGAACAAATAAAACAATGAAAATTGGTATAGTACAGTAAGCTACTGGAACTACTTGCTCTACGCAGACGAAGTCGTGGACACTAATTAGAATGTAATATTTATTTTTGTTGAATACCATGACGTTTTACTACCTTGATATTTATCTATTGTCAAAATATTCCACAAGTTTTTTTAAGATACTATCCAAGTGACGGTACGCACCCGTTACCCTGAGACGTAAGATGACAAGACCCATGTACCTGTAATTTGACCAGCACCCTTACCTTTCCAAACCGGATCACAGTAATGCTCACATTACTGCTTGGAATAATAATGTGGCAGTACTTCCCTGGACGAACTCTTTCATATTAATTAGAGAAAAATTGTGCCACTCGATACCACAGCCCTTGCACCTTATCAAGGATAATGTTCTCAGTAAAAATTATTCCAAGAATTCACGTTCTAAAATCGTGTTGTTTGTAATTCTGCGCGACGTGGTATAAAAAGAGTGGTTTAGAGGGCAATGCGGCTCGCGGGCCGCGAATGAAATCGGACGTTAGGCGAAAATTATGACTTTAATGGCACTACCGCCAGGGCCATAAACAATGGCGAGATGTGCACAATATGTTGCGTGTTTGAAATACCAGTGACAATTAATACACTGACTGTTATTTATATGGTTTGCATTGAGATTTGTCTTTTTAAAAACCGATAGTACGAGTAGGTAAACGATACTAAGAAACTTAAAAGCCTATTTTGTAATGATGTCCTCAATTCGACTGCATTTTTTTGTGTGTAACGTACATAACAAGCGATTACTTCGGCATTTGTTGGAAAGAGGGTACCTCTGTATTGGTCCCATTTAAATTTGAAGAAAATATTCCACCTCTAAGGGTGGCAAACTAGTAAGTAAGTTTAGTAGCAGTAGAGCTCCTTGTGTAAGAGTTCGTCCAGGGAAGTAGTGCCACGTTACCTATTTCTGCCGCCAAGCTATAATGTCAGCATTACTGTGTTCCGGTTTTGAAGGGTAAGAGCGCTGGTGAAATTACAGGCATATGGGACTTGTCAACTTATGTCTTAGGGCGACGGGCGCGGTGGCACTGCCCCTCAGATCTTTGCGATTTAAAGCTCTGAGTGGCACTGCAACTGTTATGGACAGGCGTGTGGCTTACCACCAGGCGCACGACTTGTTCGTCCCGTCACTTGATATCATAAAAAAAGAAAAAAGATTTGAATAAAACTTTGCAAATAGATGTAATTAATTACACGACCTTTCGATACCGGTTTTTTTACAAATAATTTATAACTATATCGAAAATGAGTTCGTGTTCTGGTACATCACATGTGATCATGTGTCAAAAGTGCTTTTATCACATGAAAGCCATAAAGATAATACGCACTCCGCTAAACAAAATTATGTATATATGAAATTTTAGAACTCCCTTACTTAAGCATAAAAAAGTCATCGCCTAATTTCGTTGGTAAAATATTTGTGCCTCTCTCCTGAAAAGTTGTCATTTTGCGGTTGTGGTCTTATTACTTTAAGGGTGTGCGTTATTGATATTCAATTTTCATACACTTTAAAAAATATATATTTTACCTCACTAGCTCTGAAAGGCTTTCTTTCTCATTAGAAATCTGCGCGCAAAGCGCGTTTTTTGCGCGCTAGCGTGGACAAGGTTTTTAAAATTCGAACTTGACTATGGACAGTGGTGCGCCTAATTTTTTCTTTCGATGAAAAAAAAAACATAATGGCACGTTCATTCCGCTACCCAATTTGTCGTACATTATTTGTAATATAAATCCGTTGGTACACTTTATTCTTATTATGGTTGAGATTAAATTGACAACGATAACTATCGAGTTCTTATGTTTTCGCAATTGTTACACATAGGAAATGAAATTATTTTTTCGTGTATATTTGTTTTTTCAAACAAACCAACGTTTCGGGCCCTTTACGGTCCAATGGTCACGGTTGACTAATTTTGTTTATTAAAACTGATTTTGATTTCCTTTAGAGCTGCCAGGACTGGTAGCTGTAAAGGTACTAACTAGGTGATAAATCTGTAATAGATTTCTCATAGATGGCGCTACGACTAAAAAGTCGTTGAAAGACCAAGTACAAAGACACGACGCAAGCACATAGAGAAATTCGTGAGGTCCGTGGCTTAGTTGGTATAGCGTCTGCCACGGTATGCAAGAAGACGTCGTTTGTTTTTTCTGAGTGTTCGATCTTTGTATTAATAATTATAACAAACTAGTGGAGTAATTTCACAAAAAATAATTGAATATCAATTCAATAAAAATTTAATTAAAACTGATTTGTTATAGTTCAACTGTTTTTCTTTCATCTACCGTTTTCCTCGCTTAGTGAGGTGAAATGTTGCATGTGTAGCTCGGCAGCAAAGTTGTTTTGCGTCTCGTGCCTTGAAACCTTCCCTCAGGATTCTATTTTTGAATTCAATCTCAGTATCCTTCGCTTGCTCAGGTTTCAATCCAAGCGCTCGCGTCAAATAACAACTTTGCAGCCTTGCATGACAAATAACTATTTACAAATAATATTTATGTAAACCAAGGCGTCCATTTTGTTTTTCAATATCGTCGTGCTAGCCTTATGGCTTGTCTTGTACACCTTTTCTTCCCCGAAATATTGAATTATATTACCTCAAAAGTAATTGTACTATGCCTTTGAACTGTAGAACACTGTATCTTTTGTGTAGACGGTTAAGATTGGTAGTTGGTAGATTTGCACGGTCATGAGTTCTATAACCGTTTTAAACCGTAAAGTTACGTAAAACTTGTTGCATTGTTGAATATTTCCATTTGCACGTTGTATTCGTAAACATATTATGTATGCCATTTGACTATGAATTATATATATGCATGACTTTCAAAAAACGAACACGGAAAGTTAATCATTTATGGACCATGCGACTTTTTCCCGGCCAAGGCCTGCAAGATTAGTGTGAAAATCCATTCCTGTCCTAAACTTTTCAGTATATCTATTATTAATGAACTATGTAATCGGGCCAAAGAAAAACTCATACAGCCGACTGTTCAGTCTCCTAGTAGGTATTTTCAATTCTCTTTTGTCGTCCGTTTTGTATTTTCGACGCGAAAATGATTGATTCTACTGAGAAAAACGATAAAGAAAATACAGTAATTGATACACATTCAACCACTTTATCAGAAGTTCAGCAGACTACAAGTCGTATTAATGTGCCTGGAAAAACAATTTCATTTAGCAATTGTCCGAACATGTCAAATATTACTTCTAATTCTAGTTAATATTTTTTACCTTTTCGATTATACTTGTTTCTCTTTAGTCTTTTAATATTTCCTCACATTGTTTGAGAAAATCACTATATAAGCTTCGGCGGGAATGGGAATTGCTTGACTCGTATTACTACTTCCCTTACTTCTCGGCCTCTGCAATAATGTATTATTTTCGGTATCGAAAAGAACATAATATATAGGATAATCCAATGAAATAAATTAATAAAACTTTAAAATCGTTAACCGGTAGAATAAACAAATGTTCAAAGACCAATTTGGGAGTTCTTTTCTAAAATTGGCCAAAGGAGTGGGGCTTAAGCTGAGGAATTGTGACTTTACGTCCCTGTATGTGCATGCCTTACGTAAATATCTCTCTCGCTTATGTTGCAAGCCAGTTGAATGAACTTTATAATTTATTACTAGCAAACCCTACTTTATTTATACAAAGGACAAAGACCACTTAACTAATTTTGCAGTTAGACTTTGACACATTATAGTATACCATTTCAGTGCCTCTCATGGTCTTAGTTAGGTGGCAACTGGAAGGCTCTTTGCAACTTTTTTGATCTCGTGGTTGTGTGAATGTGGACTCTGGTTTTAAGAGAATAGGAGCGAGAAGGCAGCTCTACTTTGTAATAATAATCGCATAAAGGGAACGGTCGGAGACGTTCAAAGTGGATTTTCGTGTGTCGCTTTTGCCGTTGCCGCCGCCCGGATTAAGCCTATTACTATACATTTCTTCTACCCAACGCTGGAATACAAAGGTCGTTTAGCCAGTTTCAAGTTTTAGTCAAACATATAAAGAAACCTTCGCTCATGACATATTTGATCGAAATTTCAAAGTGCGTATTCAGGCATTTTACGATATCGTAAAATATCAAAAAGAAAGTTGTACACGAAAAAGCTTCAGCCCTCACTACATAAAAATATGAGTAGAGAAATGTCACCTTTTACGGGTATAAAATTGGATGGATATTAGATCGATCGAGAAACTGGCAGAAAAGTGTTTATGAGCGTTCGGTAAAGGGTGATTCCTTGATAAGGAGGTGGGGTTGGGATCCTGTAGGCGAGGCTTAGCTCGCCAAAGCGGATACATGTCGTAAAAGTGATGCGAGGTAAGTGATGTTGGCTTAATAACGACAGTCCCGAGTTGGAGGGCGCGGATAACGACCTCTAGTAAATGAAGAGGACAGCCGAGCCCGCCCGAATAACTCGTTGTTTACCTGCACTATCTCTACTTCGCTAAACGATATTGTTTCTGTTTCACATTTCTGAAAACGTACTTCTCGCACTCCACCAGTTACTGTTCTCATTAAGGATATAATATGAACACTATTCGTTGTCCTACTATACTTTTGTAGTCATCTTTTGAATGCTAAAATACTTGACTCCAATTTAAAAGATATTGATCGTATCTGCGATACGTAAGCAACGGACAATGGAAACAGTAAAGCGCGTGACCGAAAGCCGCAGCTAAATAGGCTGAAACAATATTACATTTAAACAAAGTTGGTTTGCAAAGAAGAATGATGTCTTCGGTAAATTACAATTTACTTAGTGATGAATTTGAGATGAAACATTGCCGTCGCATTGTTCAACTAATTACAAAAGTGAACTCTCTGAACATACTCTAAGCCTGGCTTTTGAGTAAGTCGTAACATCGTTAAAGTTGCTCCTTGTTGCCGTACCCACACTACCACCTCGCGCAAATAGGTCAAGGCGTCTTCGGAGCGACAATTCACGATCATGTTGCTGTTAAATCTCTTCCTTCCGCCACTGTCAACAATAACCGTCAAATCCTTTAATTAAGTGTCAAGATAAACAGTAATTACGTCAAATTCCGCGAAACGTTCAGGTAGAGATAACGTCCCGAAGTTTATTCGTTTATTCAAGTGCCGGCGTAGGGCGCGGAGTTTCATTAGAGGCAGGATACAGCCGGGTGGTTAGGTGAAAAATGTCCGCCCACTAATAATGGGGCACTTGTGTTTATTCACCGCGCGCCAAGGCGTTCGCAGTGACCCACTAACTGAAACTAAATTAAGGCGGTATTTATTCTCGTCGCCGGTGTAGTACCTTCGTGTGCTAACCTCGCGTTATCCTGGAATGTTCGAGGATTTGGCAGGTCAGTTTATACGATTTGAGATCGACGACGAGTGGTGTACGAGGGCGGTACAAAATAAAGAATTGCTATCTTGATATTGTTACCGTTACAGCGCTTTCTTTCGGCTTTTCATTTAATTTATGAAGCAATTATTTTTATATCACTCTTTTATTTTTTTAAATCGTATTGTTAGTAATTCAATGAAAATAGACATTTTGAATTGATGACTGTGACACAAATGTTTGTATGACGCTAACCTATAATAATCTGTTTATTTGTTCAAATATTTTGTTAAACCAATTTTTTGTAGCCAGCGGAATAGCGAAGACGTTTTATATGCCATTAAAAGAAAATAGCTGAGGTATTTCTTTGCGATGCAAATGGATTTTTTAGCATTTACAGCCAGTAAATCTTTTTCATTTGTTTGCGACGAAAATGATAAAATGATAAAAATGTTTTCCTCGCAATACTGCTTTTTAAGGGTCATGGCGATTTTTGCCGTTGATACTACTTACCTATAGATTAGTAGTGCACTGCTGGGGCGTGTTTTATTGACTAACAGGTATACAGAGTGTTTTGTAAGATAGGGAAATCGGAAACCAAATAAGATAACTGTCTTAGGAACCATTTTAGTTAGTTTTTTGTGAAAACAATTTTGCTATAGTTAATTCTTTTGTCAAGCGTGAGTTATTCTTAAAACTGAATAAAAAAGGTCACAATTTTTTTAGTGCTGATCGATTCTGTTTCATATAGGGATCACTTACTTGTATGGGATGAAAAAATCGGGGCAGCACAAATCGAATATTTTCTTTTAATGCTAATAGACTTGGTTTCTTATAAAGATGACTTCATTGTACCGAAAGAAAAAAATTGGGACAACAGAAACGCCCTGTGTAAAATCATTAACCTAGATTTATTTAATACAAGTGTGACTTCGGCGAGGAATGCATTGGTGAGGCATTTTTGTGACTCCTGTTGATGTTTACTTTTTAATTTTTCTCTATGTTTGTAATTGATTATTTTTTCTTTCTTGAAAATTGTGTGCTAGAACTTGAAAATCGATTGTTATTTGTGAGGACCTGTAATTGGCTTTATGTCGTTATTATTATTACTTAATTTAGTTTTAAGCTGTTGGTCTTCCTAATAAATCAATAAATAAATAAATAATAAATAGAAGTTGGTCAAATTTAATATTATAAAGGAAGAAGTGTACGTACCTAACTGCAGGCACTTCAAGTATGTCCCACTCGACGGACATGTAGAACTCAGAGAGGTCTACCCCCACGGAGACCACGTTGCTGCCGGCCTGCTCGTCCATGTGCCTCAGGTCCACCTGCGTGCACACTTGTTTTATCACACCGCCTCCTCTGCAGAAATGCTGTCCTAGTACTTTTTTAACCGTACTTAACTTTCAATAGTGATGGTTTTACTCAGTTGTTAAAAAATATTTTATTATTAATAAAAAATTATATAAAAATCGGTACTAATATTTTCTATCGTTGGTTATATATGAATTTTCTGTATTTGTATTGAAACCAATCGGTATATAATTAAAGTATAAGTAATAATAATAAAAGATAAATAAGAATAACAACAACACTGAGACTTCCAAAGACATCTAAAAAAGAATTTGGAAAAAATCTGTCACTAAATTATTTTAGTTTAGTATTTTAGTTCATCATTTTATTTAATGATTGTAATGATGCATTTATAACTACTACTTCGTAGAATAAAGCAAAAATTATAAAGAATTATATTCGTAAATAGGTTCACGAATAACTGTAGAGAAGATAAAGGGAAAGTAATTTTTGCTCCATCCTACCTGTTCATTTAAATTGATTATTTATCACTATTTTAACATCACTCTATTTATCAGTAGATTATTCATCGATACATGCACCCTGTCACACAATGTGAGAAATTCGTTAATATTGCATTAATTAATCCGTGATCAGTTTCCATTACACACTGAGTGAATGCAGCTAAACCAATCCCGAGCAGTCTATGTTAGGAGGTCGTTACAGTTTGTACAGGTGACCATTGAAGAATTGCCACTTAACCATACCACAGAGTGTGTCAAGTAGGATGTACCTGTGTCAACAATTTTAAGGTTAATCAGATAAAAACACGTCAACGATAACTGCTCATAACATTCATCTTGAAAGAGGACACGTTACAACAATATTCCAAATATCGAAACATGCGAAGAAGTAACAACGCGTACACAGAAAAACACCGAGGGACGCCAACTCGTAAACGGTCACTAGAGTCAGGATGGGACGACCTCGCTTTTCGGATACTTGATGCCGTCGCCAAACATGCGCATGTGGGCAAGTATACCCCCCGGGAGGTGGCGGGGATCGAGGGCGTATATTTGCCGAAGGTGTTTGAGGAAGATCAAATAGTGAAAAGCAAGTCGGAATCGCCGGCTCCGCCGCGGCGTGTGTGTGTCGCGGCGCGGCTTGCGCCCGCTGCCAGCGCCCCAGGGTCTGTCTCGGAGCGGTGCCACCGGGCGCGGGCCTCATCAAGGTAAGTGTAGAATAGCATGCAACGAAGGCCCCGTCAACCGAAGCGACTGCTTCCGAGGGCGTCGCTTCGGTCGGCGGGCCTCACACTACTCCTAACATCTAAGTAGCTTAGAGATATCTGTGCACTATGGAGTTCGTGTCTGGATTTGATAGGATCGTTTTGTTTCTGAATGAAGTATTCCATGCAATGAACGGCCAGCGACATCGAATCCTTAGAGCCACTAGGAGTCGCTAATAGGGAAAGGTATAAAATATGCAACGTGATGTCTGTTTATGCTCGAAAGTGTACTGAGCCACAAGTGTAAAGTTACATCGTATCATCTCACATCGTGCTGTGCTTAACCTGTTCGCGTGTAAGGTATCGTGTCGTAAGCTGTGTCCGAGAGAGTACAGCCGCGCGGCCGGCGGCGGCGGCGAGCGCGGCACCGCCGTGATCGGGAATGCAAGTGGTCGTCAAGCGGAGTCATGCGTGGACGTGTACATCGATCATGTAGGGCATGCAGCAAGCTGTGTGCGTGTGTGTCGTGTGTGACGCGAGCGGAGCCAGCTAGAGCGGTGGGACGGCCACGCCGGTGCCACCGCGCACGCCGCCAGCGCGCCGCCTGACACCGCCTCCGCTGGGCTCGCGAGAGCGGTGGAGATGCTCGAGTATGAAAGCGGATGGGGCTGCAGGCCGCTCACGCAGCGCGGGCGGCGGTCGCCGACGGGCGTGTCGGGTTAGGACGGGTCGAGTGAAGTTTGCATCCCATATCACCTGGCTGTTAAGATTTTATACCTTTCCGTGTCGAGCGAGGAAGGCCAACCGAACTAAGTGGAATCGGCCGAGGATAGTCTGGATCATTCGTGGTCACGCACGTCGAATACCGCTACTCCACATACGTAACATCACCATCGAAAAGTAAACTTGCAACATGACAGACTACGAGCGACGAGCCGCGAGCGAGGGCCGGCGCCGCTCGCTGCGCGCCTCTGCTCTACCACCGTCGTACAGTCAATATGTAAAGTGAGTTTAACATACCACATGGACAGAAAAGTAATAATAATTACACGACGAGTTACGTTCGAGCCAACAAGCTATTGCATGGACAGGCCGGGGGGGCCCTACGGCTACGGCCCGCGCCGGCGCCAAGCAGCGTACAGCGGGGCGTCACCTTGAAGCCATCATACGTCCAGCTGCCTAACTTAAGCACACAGGTTTGCACGTCGTAAGGAAAGAACTCGACGTCGATCGAGCAGGAGGACTTATAGACGGCCGGCGGCTGCCACACCACCATGCCGTTGTAGTAGACCGTGGCCTTGGTCATCAGCGTCACCTCGTAGTTGCCGTCGGCGCTGCGGACAAACAGAGCGGTCATCGAGAGCGGTGCAGCTCCGGCAATTACCTTGAATCCGTCGTACGTCCAGCTACCGAACTTAAGAACGCACGTTTGCTCGTCGAAGGGAAAATATTCCACGTCTATTTCGCAGGACGACTTGTAAATGGCGGGCGGTTTCCATTCGACCAGCCCCTGGTGGTAGATGGTCGCCTTGGTCGCCAACGTAACCTCGAAGTTGCCGTCGGCACTGGAATGTTAACTCACATTACCTACTCGCCGGCTCGCGGCCCCTACCTATTCTCGTGGTGGCGGCGTGTAGCGTCGCAGGCCAGCCTGTCTGAGTGCCTCTCCAGTGCTCTACAGGTCATTGTGTCACAATTCTCTCAGTGTGTACCTCAATTAGCAATGTTGACGTCACTAACGAATGTCACAGACAGTGTGTTGTGATGTCTTGCTACGTTTTCGGCGTAGGTCACGTGTCACGTGCCACGTTGTCATGTTGTGCTACTTTTTCAGACGATGTGTATGTAGCCTAGTTTTCAATGTACTACGCGCTAGTACTGTCGATGTTATTTATGCGTTGTAATGAGTAGGTACCGACTAAGTGATTTTGAAATGTTATTCTCGTTCTAAGTTTATTAACGACCAATAAGTGTCGAAAGGAACGTGCGAGCCCCATGTTCTTGCCGTATAAATATAAATAGTTTTAAACTTTCTCGGAAATTTACTATCTGCCAGTTGCTTACTGGAACGATTAATTTGAAAATAAATCGTATTTTGTGTGCGCGATAAATTCAGGTATTTGTTTGATAATTTTGACAGGGGTCGAGGCGGGACGGCGGTGGCGAGTCTGGAAATGCACCAGTCACATTAGTTATTTACGCCAACACGAGGCATTACGACTGGGCCCCTGCCGTCCCTGCCGCCTCCTCTGCGGCTTTAACGCTAAATCGTTTCACTTCACCGGGATATTTTCACAGCACAACAGTAAACACACATGCAGTAACACAAATTTATTATAATCATTTAGTTGTTTTAGTTTTGTAACACACAAAGCAAACAAATGAAAACGATTATGGACAATGGAGATGAGGAATTACAAATCACGGTGTAGGGTGTCTAGCGACATAATTCGGAAGGCTGTTGAAGTCTTTCCGGAGGGAACGGAGGCAAAAAGGTGCGCATTAGCAGTGAGCGAAGGCGGAGACGCACAGGTTGTAGGGAGGGTCGGAAATGAGTTACGATTTCTGTCCGGCCATTTATCAACGTCCGAGCTTCGACTGTGGACACAACAAAATGGATGTAGCACTACAAAATTTTGCTACATATAACTTTGCCGCCTCGAATGATAGAGACTCCTGTCTCTTGACGATTTACCTTTACACTAGTAACTTGTAAAGGAAAATAATTTATTTCCGGTTTAAATGTATTTGACGTCACAAATTATAATTCGCAATCGTTAAAACTTTCAAATGTTATTGAACACTATCCGAGTACAAAATGTGTCGAGAGTCGGTATCGCCACAACATTGATGACAGAGCTGAACACTTCTCCCAGTTCGTGTTTCATATCGCTGCATAGCTTCTATAAGCCGAATGCCATTTGTCATAAGCCAGCAACACATGTTGGCCCAGCGTTGCCGAGTGAAGGCCAATACCAACGTACATATGTACAGGCTAGTTGCCGTGCCACTTGACCACGCATCTCACGTTGGAGCCGTGTCGGTTGTTCTGCACAAACTAAAGGCGCTCACGTGCGCTTGGCCAATAATGTTTGTGAAAAAGAAATATATTTTGTTTTTATAAAACTTTAACATTAACATTAGACAAAACTGGCTGTTGATGATAGGATCTGTAAAGGGCCCGAAACGTTAGCTTGTTTGAATAATAAATGCACGCGATTTTAATCTGAAAAACATATTAATTTCTAACGTTTTAAAACATTAATATAAGCAGTAAGTTTCACTTCTACGTCGCGTCGTCCCTATAGTTTCAAGCACAATGAAAACTGAGCTGGATGCTCCACAAAACTCGTCTACATTGACAGTTTGTACTGCTTTCCTTGCTTTTCAAACTTGTCGAATGTGTAGATGGTATGTTAGCACTGGCCGTGTATCAATGTGCCTACTCTGCGTTCGCCTAAGCTCGACCAACATGTATTTCAGGCTATTATACCTTCCGAGTCGTACGTTAAGCTTGTTTCCCCCGTACATCTAAAATATTACACATATCACGGAAAACCAAATTTAAAGCGTGATAAATGTCAATAATTTAACACCAATTAACAGTTTTATGCAATATTTTAATAAAAAAATAGGAAAATTAATATAATATAATAATCTTTTCATAATTGAAGAAAATATTTTTGCACAAAACATTAAGTGTGGCAGTGAACGCGGTTCGACATGAACAACATCCATATTCGGTTAAACCCAATTATCATGTTAATCGTGTCACAGGTGTGAAAGTACATACATAATCCTAATTTAACATTCAATTAATCTGTATCTATGTTGTTGTAATATGTAGATAATTTTCTACGTTTTATTCGTGTTACTAGCTTTAAATCGAAAGTTTAAAAATGACATGTCTTTAGGTCTACCACGTCTTTCATTTAAATGTAACACGAACTAATACAACACGGTATTTTATTGACATACGTACATATTTATAAGACGATTGTATTCAAGGGTCTAATATTTAGTCACTGTTGTAGAAAGAAAAGATTATTTTTGTTGCAAATAGTAACGATAAGTTACGTATGTTAAATTGTTTAAAGGCAGACTAGTTGGAATTTTGCGATTACTATTTGAAATTATATGTAAAAAAATGTAAGCACAGTATTTTTTCCTTAGAATATATTAGCACGCTATAATCTACATTATCCATCGTTCACGTGAAATTCAGTATTTCTTGGATCAGTGGAATAAGAAATACATATTTTTTTATTTATAAAATATCATATTTTCATATTTTTTACGTCTTTCGTTGTCGTGTCTTTGTATTTGGTTTTTATATTACAACAAACACATAGAAAAAATCGTGAGATCCGTTGGTACGTTCCGTGGCTTAGTTGGTATCACGTCTGGCACGGGTTCTAACTTAACCTAACCCAACCGAACCTAATCGTGTCTTTACGATAGATATTCAACATATCCTGTAAGAACAACTGTTTCGTTATAATTCGGTTTTCGGTGTAATGAAAATTCGAACAAACGTTTTCAACACGTTAACAAAAAACGTTAACAAAAATTTTCGACTTTGTGATAGGTTACCTCTGGCACGGTATGCTAGATGACGTCGGTTCGAATCCGGCCGGATCGAAGGAATTTTTTCTGAGTGTTCGATCTTTGTATTAATAATTATAACAAACTAGTGGAGTAATTTCGCATAAAAATATTTGAATATATTTTTTAATTCACAAAACCCGATTTCTCCAAGAAATTTTTGTCAAATCATTTTTCTGTCCCGGAAAACGACCTAAGGTATAGGCGCCGTGAGCAAAGTAAGCAGATAAAATAATGAAGGAAATTGAAGAAAATTCGACATATCGCACGCTCAACGATAAAACGGAGATATTCTAAAAATAATTTTCGAGAAACTGGCTAAATAGATTTAGGAAAAATACGAGGCTCCAGGGATATGTACAAATAAATTACATAAAATTCTGTGTCTATGAAAAACGATATATGTGTATTAAGTTTAATTTTGTAAGCTTTTTTAAATTACTTTTGTCAGTTTCCCAAAAATGGTATTTTTCGTATTTCGCCACTTCGTTATTAAGGGTGATATGAAACTTTTCAAAAACAATAATCGAGGCTGTCGGGGCAATAGTGGTGTAACCTACATTTTTTCTGTAATATTACTTTAAATGACATTAAAGTACGTATTTATATATTTGGGTGCTATTTGAATTTTTTTTATGATACTAAGTGTCGAGACGAATAAGTCGTGCGCCTGCTGGTAAGCGACAGATGCCCATCTGTAACAGCTGCCACTGCGCCCATCGCCCCGAGAAAAGTCCCATGTGCCTGTAATTTCACCAGCACCCTTGCCCTTCAGAATCGGAACGCAATAATGCTCACATTACTGCTTGGCGGCAGAGACAGGTGAGGTGGTAGTACTTCCTTTGACGGACTCTTTCACAAGGAGCCCTACTGTTACTTTTATGTATATAAAAAAAATACAATTTTTTTTTCTTTTTTTTTCCTTTTTTTTTCTTCTTTTTTTTCTCTTTTTTTTTCTTTTTTTTTTTTTTTT